GATCCTGAGGCCTGTTCGACGGGTGGACCATGGCTAGGAGGAAAACTCTCGGATTCAGTCTGTAGAATGGATTCCAAGGAGCAAATCTTAGTGGCAGACAGTTCGTTTCCTGCCACTCCATATCACAATTTGGGTGTAAGAAACCAGGGATCCAGGCTTATATGGGGCATTAGATGCTCACTTTTTCTAGTTTCTTTTTTACTGCCTGCTGCCAGTCCAGATGGTCTGAGAATTAGCTGCCTGATCAAGGATACACGGGTAGTTTGATGGAATTGGGGCATTATTTATTTGTTTGTCTATTTTCGCTGCACCATTGCCGTCTGCTTTTCAGCAAGATTTTGGCTGCCATATGCTAAGCTATGTTTGCCTGGTCCATATAGTGATATAGAACATTGTTAATTTTGATTTTTCCCATAGTGGTTGTGAAATTTTAAGCTAGGTCCATACAGTTTCATCTATGTGTGTTCATGTTATTGTTCATGTTATGATGATGTTTTGGCCGAGTCATGGCTAAGCGGTTTATTGGTATATTCTTTTGCTGGATCATCTTTGCAGGAGGCAGTTTGAGCATGCTAACCTAGAGGCAATGGATGAATCCGCTGAATGGAGAATGAAATACGACACGGAATTGGCGAAAACCAGGGACCTGCAAGATGAACTTTTAAAGGTTGGTTCCATTGCCAGTATATGTTCCTGTACACTCTAATATTCTCCCATGATTTACGTCTGCGATGCTTATGGGACATTCTTTGTTTGTAGGTCAAGACCTCACTGTCTGATTCAACCAAGAGATTTGAAGAGTTACAAAAGGTAATTTTGGGGCAATTTTCAGTGCATTTTCTCACTGTATCAGAATCCTAGTTCTGTGTATCCTGTTTCATTTGACCGTGTGCTTCCTCTCCATTTATTTTCACTCTCTCCTATGTACATGCCTTGCTTAAGCTCATCTCCATCACTGCAGGATAATGAGATGTTGAAGAGGCAGACTGAATCCATGAAACTGGAGTGCAATTGCACCATTCCATTGAATATTACTCAGGAATAAGTACATTTCACTGGCAGATTAGCACTAGTTTTCCTTCTCATTTTTCATATTATTGGTGTGAGGACAGATAGAATGAGCAGCTTTGTAATAGTAGATATGGCGACTGCAGCAAAGATACTTGTGTTTGCAATTTTTAATGACCTATACACCCGGGCACAATTTTTGAAGTAATCACTTGTGAGTAGCAATGCATAAGTGTGTTTTCAGTGTACATTTTTGAAGAGAAGTTTTGTGCTGGATTTGAGAAAATTGCTTGTCAGCTGTACATATGCAGTGTAGTGTTGGTTATATCAAATTCCTTTGGTGTATGTTTCAAAAGTAAAAAATCTTGGCTGTGGACATTCCTTTTCTTCTTGAACCTGCCAATCCACCTGATTACACAGGGTGGGCCTAAAAGGCGGCATATTAAGGTCTGTAGACCACTGTATGTTTTCATTCTCTTGTGGGGAATCAAACAGAGGCCTGTCTTGCTCTTCTTGTCTCTGACCAGTTATCACTTGCTGTGAAATTCTCTTCAAGTGTTCTGGTTACATAAACCTATTCAGGTTATAAATATACAGTGCAACAGTTGCCAAATCCAAAATATACAGTTGTCATAAACCTATTCAGTTCTGTTTATGCAACCGTTGCCCAATCCAAAATATACAGGTGCTAATCCTCCATCGACCTATTCAGGTGCCTGGATTAATCCTACTGAGCAAAGTAATGCACCATGGTTGTCACCGTTCAGTGCTAATCCTGCTCAGTAGGATCTCAACTAGGAGCATCATCATCAAGAACACTATGCCAGGCGCCTCAACCAAGAAACACTTTTTCAAACCCAAATCTAGCGACTTCGAAGTTCCAACACTTATTATAACTGGTTTCAATATATATATCCACGTTCATCAGCACTTCAAGAACCAACTTACAAGATAGGATAGCACATCAATGCAGAGTTACACACTGCTCAAAGCTGAAGGATACCATACCCAGTCATGGAATCAGTAGTATCTTGCCAATGTGGGAGCTTGACTCCATCAGCTTGTGAGCTTCAGCTGCCTCAGATAGAGGGAGTGTCCTGTAAACCACCGGCTTCACATTGCCCGACGCAACGGCTGGCCATACATTTCTCTCCACCTCGCTGACGATCTGAGCTTTATTGGCAAGGCTTCTGCTCCGCAGCCCAGCAACTGCACATAATCATAGCAATACAATCCATTACTAAAATTAGCGACGACATCTAGGAATTGTCGATCAGATAAAACAAGAAAAAAGCATCGACATAAGATCTGTTATCAGGCAAAAAACATGGCAGAACGAGAAGCCGAGAAATCGTGTGCATCAATGCAACCTTGTATGGTCAATCTTCGGGCAAGCATCGCCTGCAGGTTCACTTCAGTCACGCTGCCTCCCATGAAACCAATGATGAAAAGCCTACCATCAACTGCTAAGCTGTCCAGATTGCGCTGGAGATATGATCCGCCGACGTTGTCCAGAATGACATCACCTCCTGGTAGAGATATTCCCCATATTACGGTCAGAATGCATGTATATTAACTTGCCAAGCATAACTTGGGAAAGCCAAAACATTTTGTTTTATTTTTGCACAGGGCATCAAGCATTACAAGAGGATGGCAGGATAATACCATTTCCATTAGTTTCTTCTTTGATACATGCTGCAAAGTCTTCGGTTTTGTAGTTTATGCATACATCCGCACCCAAACCTGCACAAGCATCTAGTTTCTCTTGGCTTCCTGGAGGAGCATAACAGAGTTACTTGCCCTTTCAGAAAACTTTTTAGTACTCCCTCCGCCCCGAATTAGTTGCCTTAGATAGTCTAGATACGGATGTGTCTAGACACGTTTTAGTGTTAGATACATCCGTACCCAGCAACATACCTGCAGTAACAAAAACCTTGATTCCGAGGTGCTTTGCCATCTGTATAGCAAATGTACCGATTCCGCTTGATCCACCGTGGATCTGCATACAATGGGAGATACAAAAAACATAGGCATGAAAATTTAGTTCCAGTTCAATTCCCACAACACCAATTATGCACCTACTTCTGCGTACAAGTGACTACTAAATCATTTCACACTCCATTCGAGTTGGCATCATTCAGTACTTTGTGGTTTTTCAGTTAGTCAGAGCATGCCAATTTGTTGTGAGTTGTGACTGAATAAAATGCTCAGCTCCTAGTAGTAGGAATCATATGTGGTGATGACTGAGGCAGATTCATCGGTCTGCAATCCCAACAAACCAGCAAGAGAGAATTTCTTACAAGGAAGGATTCGCCGGGGGAGAGGTGGCTGCTCATGAAGACGGTGGACCAGACGGTGCAGGCCACCTCGGGCAAGCCGGCGGCGTCCGTCAGCGACACCCCCTCCGGCACCGGGAGAAGCTGCCCCGCCGGCACCACCACCTTCTCCGCGTACCCGCCGCCGTTAAGCAGCGCGCACACCTGCACGCGATGCAAAGGTTCACAGCACGGCGACAGCAAAGGGTGCGCAGGGACAGAGGAGGCGGTGAACTAAACTATTACCTGGTCGCCGACGGCCCAGCGCGGGTGGACGTTGGCCCCGAGGGCGAGGATGGAGCCGGAGCACTCGACCCCCGGGTACGGCGAGGCGCCGGGCGGCGGGGGGGTACCCGCCCTGCCGCTGGACCGTGTCGGTGCGGTTGACGCCGGCGGCGGCCACCCTGAGGAGCACCTCGCCGTCCCCCGGCGCCGGGAGGTCCTCCACCTCGCTCTCCTCCAGCACCTCCGGCCCGCCGGGGCTCGCGATCTCCCCCGTCGCTCTCACTGCCTGCTCAGCTCGGCCGCGAGTGGGTTGCTCATGTCTCATATCCCCCATGAGGTCGACAGACGGGAGGAAAGTTCCCGCCGGCGGCGGCTAGCTGCGTGGTCCCCGCTGGCTACCCCACTTCTCTTTCGGCTCATTCGGCCCCAGAGACGATGAACCGAACCATACGTCAGCGTTTCGGGTGCGTATAAACTTATTTTTCAACTCAAAAGTCAAATCTAGTGAAGTTTGATCAAATTTATAGAGAAAAATATCAACATCAGTGACACTCTCATAAGATGAATGAACAAGACTTCCAACTTCCAACATTTTATTGTAACTGGTTGTCGTCAAGATACATATCCAATTTCATCAGCACTTCGAGATCCAGTTTATCTTACAATATAAAAGGACATTTCCTTGCATAGTTTACTGCAGGAAACAGTGCTCACAGCGGCTTCAGATAGTTCACACCATAACACACCATACCCAATCATGGAATCAACAGTATCTTGCCAATGTGGGAGCTCGTCTCCATCAGCTTGTGAGATTCAGCTGCTTCAGATAGCGGGAATGTCTTGTAAATCACCGGCTTCACCTTGCCCGACACGACGGCAGGCCACACATTCTTCTCCACCTCGCTCACGATCTGGGCTTTGTTAGCGAGGCTTCTGTTCCGCAGTCCAGCAGCTGCACAAAATCATGGCAATTCAATCAAGTGGTAAATTAGCGACGACATTTACAAATAGCACAATCATGTAAAATAATGAAGCAAACAACAAGCATCGACATAAGATGGCAATACTGAAATCACAAATATCCATCCAACCTTGTATGGTCAATCTTCGGGCAAGCATAGCCTGCAGGTTCACTTCAGTTGTAACACCTCCCATGAAACCGATGATGAAAAGTCTACCATCAACAGCTAAGCTGTTCAGATTGCGCTGGAGATAAGATGCACCGATATTGTCCAGAATGACATCAACACCTGGTAAAGGTATTTTGTATTATTGTTAATGTAGGAGTATATAAACTTGACAGGTATGACTAGGTAACACACCAGGGGCTAGCAAACACCATAACAGAAGAACGCATCGGAGTATCAAACATTACAAAAGGGCAGCAGCAGCATACCCTTTCCATCGGTTTCTTCTTTTATGCGTGCTACAAAATCTTCGGTTTTGTAGTTTATACATACATCAGCTCCCAAATCTTTGCAGGCAGCTAGTTTTTCTTCGCTTCCTAGAATAGGATAACAGAGTCACTAGCACAGTTTCACAAACGATTTGGTAATATCTTATTTCTTCTCTTAGTAAGTGTATAACTGACAAACCTGCAGTAACAAAAACCTTAACACCAAGGTGCTTCGCAATCTGTATAGCGAATGTACCGATTCCACTCGATCCACCATGGATCTGCATACATTGGAGGTACCCAATCATCAGTAATAATACAGCCAGGAGTCCAGGATAATTCACCTCACTTTGCATATGAGTAACTGCTAATTAAACTAGTTCACACTCCATTCTTATAGCCATCATGTACTTTGCTATTTCCCAGTTAGCTGAAGCATGCCAATTTGTTGTGACAAAAGATATCGGACTCAATTCTCGGTGAAAGAAATTCACAAGCAGTCTCATCCCCACAAAGCAGCAAGTGCAGTGAATTGCTAAGCCGCTTGCAATCATCACATGGGGGAACAAATTAGCAAGAGAGGTTTTCTTACAAGGAAGGATTCGCCGGGGGAGAGATGGCTGGTCATGAAGACGGTGGACCAGACGGTGCAGGCCACCTCGGGCAAGCCGGCGGCGTCGGCCAGCGACACCCCCTCCGGCACCGGGAGCAGCTGCCCCGCCGGCACCACCACCTTCTCCGCGTACCCGCCGCCGGTAAGCAGAGCGCACACCTGCAACGAAACAGCATATGCACAACAGTGAGGTTCAGAGCAGCAGCGGCCATCACCAAATTCACCACGGGGGCACGGAGGGCACCTGGTCGCCGACGGCCCAGCGCGGGGGGACGTTGGCCCCGAGCGCGAGGATGGTGCCGGAGCACTCGAGCCCCGGGTAGGGGGAGGCGCCCGGCGGCGGCGGGTACCGGCCCTGCCGCTGGACCGTATCGGCGCGGTTGACGCCGGCGGCGGCCACCGCGACGAGCACCTCGCCCTCCCCCGGCGCCGGGAGGTCGTCCACCTCGCGCACCTGCAGCGCCTCCGGCCCGCCGGGGCTCGCGATCGCCACCACCCTCATCGTCGCGTCCGTCTGCCTCGGCCTGCGCTCAGGCTCAGCTCACTTGCTTCCGGCTTCCGGCTCTCGGGAGCTCCGCGTCTGCAGGCCACTGCTCCACGGCTCTGCTCGGATATAGGGCCGGGCTTCTCCGACTGGATCCGGCCCAAGAAAGTTGGACGGCAGAACGTGGTTAGAGCATCTTCAACGGCATAGGTCAAAGTCAAACGAACATGGATGTGACTGACTGAGGTTTTGAATAGATGACCTTTGCATTTGCATTTTAGATTTAGATTTGTTTGTATTTCAAAATATAGAAAAACATTTATATTACGGGGTCGAGCTATTTTGCGAAGAGCTCATGTCTCCTGACTTATAGCGTAACCGGCTAACCTTCCTCATCCTCCTTTCCATTTAATCACTAACAAAACCCACCTTTGTTCGTGACGCATTGATGGACATATGGTCGAATGACCATTCAACCATATCCTTCAAAGAAGGCGGGCATTGAGCTGTCCATCCTAATTCATAGATTTTTTTTGCAAGTGTAATTCATAGGTTTTTTTAGGGTAAAACATTGCTTAATAACAACAACTAAAAACTACTCTAAAAATCCTACTACTTCCTTTTCCTTTCCGGGGTGAGGTCGATGACCTCCCGCTAGAGCTGTTGGCCTCATTGTCATTGGTCGCGCGTGTGAACCCGGGGTTCGCCGATGTGTCTTTTTGGCACTCGCTGTCATCGTCCTTGGCCTCGAGCTCCTCGATGAGCCAGGTGTGCCACACCTCATTGATCCGGAGATGGCGGTGTTCGCGGTCGACCGTGTGAGGTGCTCTGCACGGACGTGTAGACCGACCAGTTCACGTCAACGAGCTCTAGGTCCGCATCAACGAGCGCCACGATGACAGTGGCATCTGCATGCTCTGCCTCCCTTGCACCACGATCGCGTGGTGCTCCTGCAGTAGGGCGAGGCGGACTTGCTCCTCCACCTCCGCCATGGAGAAGAGGTTGTTTGGCCCGCGCTCGGAGTCGCGACCTCAACGACCATCGCCTCCTTCTCCTATGGGGGTGCCTCCTTCTCCGCAACCTCTTCTAGGGTCATGAGGTCCCCCCCCTCCTCCTCCTCCTCCTCCTCTAAGCTTAGAGGCCTCAATACGAGCATGACACAAAATAAGTGTTCACGTTTGAGGCTTGAGCATGTTTGGACTATTCGGTTTGAACATATAGGGAAGAAAAGAGGACCTGTGTTGGAGATGCCGTTATCCCTTGATTATTTCTTCATTTTTTGGGTTCTAGAAAAGAGAATCCTTCTTTTATACTCCTTCCTTCTTTATCACATAGTATTACCTTTGTCTTGAATCAAGACTTTTACTAGTTTGACCATGGTTGCAAAAAAGAAGGATCTACAATACTAAATCAATATAATTAGATCCATCACAGAGTATATTTTCATGTGTTAGTTTATCTGATATTGCAGATATTGATATTTTTTAGTAAGTTTGATCCATCACAGAATATATTTTTCAAAAATACTTCCTGCATGCTTTTTTCTATGCCGTCGATGCTTTTTTTAGTAAGCTTGATCAAACTTTAAAGTAATATTTACTCCCTGTTTAGGCAATACATTACGGAAGGAAGGGAGTGGGAGTAGTTGATTGGGCTGTGCCGGCATAAAGCCATAAAGTGATTCCAGAAATGCGCGTGCTGTTTTGCTGTGCTCGTGCCGTCGTGCGGCCAGTGGTGGTGGGGTGGGAACAGGATACAGAGTTGGGGAAAGGGTAGAGGATGATGGCATCATGGAGCTCGTCACCACCCACGGCATCGGCCCGGGGCCTGCGCCGCTCACCAGTCGCGGGCGGCGGCGGCTAACGGAAGGTGGGCGCGGAAGCATCTCGGAACACCCGGGCTCCGGCTAGTAGTAGTACATATCGGATCGAAGCAGCGAGCGAGGGCGCGCGGGGTAGGGTTCAGGTTCGGATTGATTGAGCCGCCCGCGCCGTCTGTCTATTTCGGGGCTCTGGCGCCGCCGGCCATGGGCGGCCTCCGCCTCTCCGCCTGGGCCGCCGCGCCCTCCCCCTCCCCCTCCTCCGCCGCCGCGCGGGGCTTCCCGCGGTCCCCGCCGGACTGGCGCGGGCTGGAGCGCGGGAGTGGGCGCGGGCGCCGCAGCCGCTGCGCCCCGTCGTCCCCGCCCTCGGCGTCGCCGGCGCTGTCCCTGGGCGCGGCCGGCCGGCTCCGGGTCGGGGCGGACCGCGAGTGGCTGTGGGACTGCCGTGGCGGCGGCCTCGGGGGAGGAGGGGGGAAGAAGGACTACGCCAAGGAGATGGAGGCGGCGGTGCGCGTCGTCCAGGTGGCCTGCACGCTGTGCCAGCGGGTGCAGGACTCGCTGCTCCTTGCGGACCCAGGCTCCGGCTCTGCCGGCGTCCACTCCAAGCTCGACCGCTCTCCGGTCACCGTCGCCGGTTCGTACTGCCACTCTGAGTATTATTACTAGTAGCGTTCAGTATTCAAAACATTTCATTACACACCCTGAATACAGTTAGCACCCAAGTTAGTCAAACTTGAACTCTGCTGTATTGGTAAATTTATATTACTATTAGAGTGAGTCTCAATGCCTAAACAGGATACTGCTTAGTTAAATTATTGGTGTTGAGTGTTGACTTTTGAGTTGTGCAAGTGTGGTAATCTTTTTTCCCCATTCGATAAATAAGACTGCGTGTTTGCACTGATATATACTGGCTGACCTGTTACAGTACTGATAGTGGGCTGCAAATGCAATTCAGCTTGCAGCCTCACACTGAAATATAGTGGGTGTTTCAAGTTCCAACATATCAGGAATGGCCCATATATGAATATTATTGTGCAACAAATTTTGTCTACTCGTGACGTCACTGAGTGCCTGGAATTGGATGTATAAATATTATGCAATAAATTGGGTGTTTGTGGTGGTTAGTTCCTAATAAATCCATCTGTATTCCTTATGCCAGATTGGGGCGTGCAAGCGACAGTCAGCTGGCTACTCTCAGATTGCTTTGGTGATGAAAGTGTGTCGATCGTAGCAGAGGAAGATGATAAGACACTGTCTAGTAGCGACGGCACGGCTTTGCTTGAGTCTGTTGTCTCTGCAGTCAATGGTTGCCTGGTTGAAGCTCCAAAGTATGGGCTGAGATCCCCGGAGAAAGACCTCGGGGCTCACGATGTTCTTCAAGCTATACGGAAGTGCAGCTCTACCGGGGGTCCAAAAGGAAGATTTTGGGTGCTTGATCCTGTGGATGGCACACTTGGTTTTGTGCGTGGGGACCAATACGCCATTGCCCTCGCCTTAATTGAAGACGGGGAAGTTGTGCTTGGTGTTCTCGGGTGCCCAAATTATCCAATGAAGAAGGAATGGCTCAACTACCACCAACGATACTACAGGTTGATGTCTAAGGTTGCTCCCCCTACATCAGGATCGTGGAACAAGGGTTGCGTGATGTATGCTCACAAAGGATGTGGCCAGGCTTGGATGCAGCCATTGGTTCATGACTTCGGTATGCTTAGTTGGCATAACTCAAGGGAGGTTCAAGTATCATCCGTCAGTGATCCAGTTTCAGCAACATTCTGTGAACCTGTTGAGAAAGCCAACTCGAGCCATTCCTTCACTGCAGGACTTGCCCATAGTGTAGGCTTAAGGTCAGTTTTTTTTATTTCGCTGTCTATGTGGTACTCCCTCCGTTCCATAATGTAGCGCATATAGATTTTCTGCAAAGTCAAACTTTATAAAGTTTGACCAAGTTTATAGAGAAAACTATTTATATCTACAATACCAAATGTACATAATATGAAAGTATGTCTTGTGATGTATCTAAGCACATGTGTTTGGTATTCTAGATGTATATGATTTTCTCTACAAACTTGGTCAAAGTTTATAAAGTTTGACTTTTAGAAAAATCTATATGCACTACATTGTGGAACGGAGGGAGTACTTTTATTAACCATGATAATATTATTTCACTAGAGTGTGGAATTTATTTTATAGATTTACATGTGCTAGTTGGCATATGGTATTGCTGAATAGCGAATAGGGTACCAGTTTACATGGCCATTAGAATGAAGTGGTGCTGGCATTTTTCTCTTGTTCCGTGTCATCTGCATGCAGGTTGCAAGCTTTAGCTTTTGGGTGCTGGTTATTGATTATTTTCGTGTGCTTGTTTTTCAGAAACCAGCCTCTGCGTGTGTACAGCATGGTGAAATATGCTGCAATAGCACGAGGTGATGCTGAAATCTTCATGAAATTCGCTAGAGCTGGATACAAGGAGAAGATATGGGATCACGCCGCAGGGGTGGTCATCATTCAAGAGGCTGGTGGAGTGGTAACAGATGCCGGAGGTTGCCCGTTGGACTTTTCCAGGGGTGTTTACTTGGAGGGTTTGGACAGAGGCATAATAGCTTGTTCCGGAGCGTTGCTTCATCAGAGAATTTTGCAAGCTGTTGATGCAAGTTGGAACTCATCAACGTTGTAATGCAAGCAACCCAAACCCTTACAGTCAGATAGATGGCCTGATGCTGGTCATAGCATGCAAGAGTGAGTTTACAACGAACTTTTGCTCTGTTTTTATCAACCTATGAAGTAAATTTGGCCTGCCTCTTACATTCCGGTATCTGTTTATTTACAGGTAACTCGACTCATTTTGGTATGAAGAATTAGTCTCCAGTGTTCAATTAACGTTGAAATAGTGGAGCGTGTAGTAACCATAGCTTGTCTGCTCATAAACAATCTGCGGCATGAGATCGACGAATACCATCATTTGTTCGCCAAGAGCATCTGTAAAGATGTCTAGTGGCTGTTTTGATGGTTTGTATCATCCATTTCTCCCTCGGGCATAACTCATACGCTCCTTGGGTTGATGGCACGTCGACTAAATCATCAGTCATGAGCAATTTGCTGAACCTGATAACTCGAATCTCTGAACCTTCGATAAAATGATCCCATGATGCATTGTCTGCAAGTTTTCGCCTCTATATTATGCCGTCGGTTATTCTCATTTTCCAGATACTTGTGTTTTCTTGCATTCATATAAATATATAAAGTATCATTCCATGTTTATATATATTCTCCATTGTCCACTCCACAAAGAAAGGAAAAATACAGTCACACGAATTTACCACAACAGCACAAGTAGCAATTTTTTTTTCATGGTAATAAAAACCATGATACAGACGGACTGACTGTGTGTACTGGACTGGACTGAGGCCTGCAGTTGATCAGCTGGAGAGCTGCACGGAGCAGCACTGGCTGAAGAGCTCCTTGCTGCCGTCCTCGACGTTGTTGTCATGGTCCATCTTGGGCTGGAAGCTGCTCCACGCCGGCGCCAGCCCCGGCGCGGCGCTGGTGTCGTAGCTGTGCACCAGCGAGACCGTCCTGAAGCTCTCGTCGTCGTCGCCGGCGATCTCGTACCCGGCGAGGAAGAAGAGCCGCGTGCCCACCACGGCCATGGTGAGGTACAGCTGCTGCGCTGATGGCGGCAGGTTGCTGGCGAGCAGCGCCAGGTCCGACAGCGCCGAGTGGTCCATGACGCTCCAGATGTTGAGCTCGCCGTCGTAGACCTCCACGTGGCCCTTCCAGCTGTTGAGGCAGTCGCCGGAGCTGAAGAGCCGGCCGGCCACCGCCACGATCTGGTTGGGCGGCACGTCCAGCTGCCACATCCCCGGGATGATCTCCCACACGCCGCGAGCGCAGTTGAACACCTCGGCGGAGCTCCGCTCCAGCGCCGACGACTGCGCCTCGCCGGGCGCGGCCGCCGGCGTGGTGCTCTCGGCGAAGCCGCCCACCACGTGGAACCCGCCCTCCCACGTCACGCCCACGCACTTGTACCGCAGCGTGCTCATGTCCGGGAGCGGCGACCAGCGGCCGGTCTCCGGGTCGTACACCTCGGCGGCCGCCGTGCCCCGCGCGCCGGAGAGCGAGCAGAGCCCGCCGGCGACGCAGATCCTGCCGCGGCACGGCGCGCACGCGAAGTCGACGCGCGGGACCAGCAGCGGCGCGCAGCAGCGCCACTCCCCGCGGCGCACGTCGTAGCGGAGCACGTCGGCGCGCACGCCCACGTCGGTGTCGCGGTAGTCGCCGCCGGGCACGGCCTCCCTGCGGCAGAGGCGGCCGCCGATGACGTAGACGGACTCGGCGACGGCGACGACGGCGAAGCCCTTGAGCACGTGGCCGTGGGGCACCCCCGGGAGGCCGCCGACGCGGCGCCACGTGTTGGCGCCCGGCTCGTAGCACTCGAGGCTGTTGGACGCGCCGTGCGCGAAGCAGGCGTATATCCTCACCTCGCCGCCGCCATGGTTGTCGTTGCCGGCGCCGGTGCCGCTGCTGCCGGTGCTGGACAGCGAGGGCGAGGTGGCCACGTCGCCTTCCAAGGACCCCATGGCGATCTCAATCACTTGTCGACGCGCTCGCTGCTCATCACCGCCACCAACCAGGGGAGTTGCAAGGAGGACGCGTGGCCTATATATAGGCGGCCGGGGGCAGCGCTGGGCCGCGTCCATGGCGGGCGGGCGGACGGATCGAAGCGTAGGGGGAGTGTTGGTCATTGGGAACTCCGGCCATGCCCAACGTAGCGTAAGCCGAGCTGCTAGAAGGCCTGTCTTGTTGCTGGAATGAGACGGCGGCATCCTTCGAGAGGACGGACGCCCGACGAAAGGGACGGGCGCCGTTTGACGAACAGTGCCGTGATTGCGTCCACGTGCCGTCCCGTTTTGTCAACGTGAATCGAACATGCGTCATTGCGTCATGCGTGCGCGAACAATGGTACAGTCACGGGTAAACCCGGGCAAACGTCGGGCGGGGCTTGTAAAAGCCCGACCTTCATTTCTCAAGCCCGAGCCTGGCCTGAAGCCTGAAATACTCTTTGTTTTCAAGCCTGTGCCCGACCCAAAATCTAGCCCGAAGCCTAAAAGCCCGGCCTGAACGTTATTTTTTAGTGTATGCACGTGGTGCAAGCCCAGCTCGAAATACAGAAATAGAGAAGCCCGAGCTTAGCCCGAACTATCTTTCTGGTTGCAAAACAAGTCCCGAGCCCGGGCCGGCCTGACCCGTGTTATTCGGGTCAGGCTGTCCATGCCCGGGTTTAGTCACGGGTATACCAGGCCATAACTCGGGCCGGGCTGTCCATGCCCGTGTTTAGTCACGGGTATATCAGGCCATAACTCAGACGGGGTCGAGCCTAAAAAAGCCCACAACAGAAAACCTAGGCCCGCCCGGCCTTTGGGCCTAGAATACAGGCCTGAGCCTGACCCGCCAGTGGAAAAGCCCGTCAGGCCTCAGGTTGGGCCTCTTCCCTAAAACACACATATGTTAAGCCCAGCCCTAGCCCGCCATGTCATTCGGGCTCAAAACCTAGGCCTAGGCCCAGGCCCGTGGGCAAGACCGGGTTGGGCTATTTTGGGTCGGGTTTCCCATGACCAGGTATAGTCACGGGCATTTTCCTATGGATTCAATCCTACGGACACCGGTTTTGGTTTCGGTTCAAGTACGGGCCTGGCGGGTCTGGGGGGCTAGACTAGACCAAGGTAGAGAAAGCCATGTTGCACACCGGTGGTGGTATGTGAGTTTGGGCTTGGTGCACAAATAGGCGCTTTGCCAAATACTCCCCCCGTTCCTAAATATTTGTCTTTCTAGACATTTCAAATGACTACTACATACGGATATATATAGATATATATTAGAGTGTAGATTCACTCATTTTGCTCCGTATATAGTCACTTGTTGAAATGACTAGAAAGACAAGTATTTATTAGGAACGGAGGGAGTACTAGGTAAGTTGCGGGCACACTAATTTACCTTTTTTCCAAGTAACAGAGTCGATGTTGTGGGGTGTAAAGGTTCCCTCGAAACTAAAGATTTCTACATGGTGCTTGGCTGGAACATCGCTCCCGACGGGCGACGAAAGCATCGAAATATGGTTGATTCCGAGGAGTGCACTATCTGTCAGGGAGGGACTGATACATGGAGACAAGCTCTCCTAGAGTGTAATATGGCAAAGTGTATATGGTCGCTGATGGATGAAGACTTGATTGATTTTCTCTCAGCCAACAAGCATGATGACCCGAAGCTTTAGTTGTTTCAACTAGTGGAATCAATCCCACATAGGGAGATGATTCAGATTCTTGTGACACTTTGGGTGATCTGGTGGGCTAGGAGGAAGGCGATATATGAGCAAAATTTTCAGAGCCCACTATCTACCTTCTACTTCATTCAAAGGTTCCTGCAGGACTTAGAGATGGCAGAAGTGGCTCCAAGAAGTCCGGCAATTCTAGCCAGGGTATAGGAGAGGAAATGGATTGCTCCGGTCTCTAGGTGTGCCAAAATAAATGTTGACAGGGGCCTCTCGGGACCAGGTGAATGGGGTGCAGTCAACGATGTTTGTAGGGATGATAGGGGCAAATTCACGGGAGCATCTGCAGTTGTTGTTGATGATTTAGCTGATTCGGAGACACTAGAGGCAGTTCAGCGAGGCATTGTCTTTGGCTTTTGATTTGAATATTTCAATTGTTCATGTGGCTACACAATGTGTGTAAGTTGTCAAGAACATCATGGAGCAGAACGCATGCAAATATAGTGCAATCATCCATGAGTCCAACGCCAAGAGGAATCAGTTTCAGAGAGTCGAGCTTGGACATGAAATGCATGCATGCAATACTGAAGCCCATGTGTTGGTTAAAGCCTTAACATCTTTGGAGAGTGGCAGTCACTTGTGGCTAACCTCGCCATTCCCTATAGTTGTTGTATTCCGGTTGACATCATGCAATAAAACTCTAGGGTGATTCTCGAAAAAGTTGAATATGACTGAATGGAATGGGCATATTGCAAGTTATCAGGGAAAGGATTGGGTTTTCCAACCCAATGGATATCTATGGTTATGGGAATGGTTAGCTCATTTTCCTTTACTGTCCTTTTTAATGGAAACAATCTTGAACAGTCTAAATCATCTTATATTCCTTGTTAGCAGTGAAGAGCCTTTTCGTGCATTTTGAAATCGAGATCACAATCCTCAGCGGCATTACGGTGGCTCCATCGACACCCCGTTGAACCACGTATTATTCGCAGATGACAACCTATTATTCTTCAAGTCAAGTGTACAAAGTCCATAAGAAGTATCAAATCTATTGAATGCCTATTGTCAAGCATCGGGCCAAAGGGTAAATCGAGAAAAATCATCCATTTTTTCAGTAAAGGATGCTCCCAAAGTACAAGAGAAGATGTTAAAAGGTATATTGTTCCTAATAAATAATTAAATGAGAGATATCTTGACATGCCAACAGATGTAGGGAATTCAAAGAACAAGACAATGATCGTATTTGGGAGAAGATAAAAGGGTGAATGGGAAAGAGTCTCTCGGCTAGGGGAAAGGATGTCTTACTAAAAGTTGTGGTTAAATTCTCGCATTAAGTTGTGGTGGGGCAGCAGGCAAGGTGCCAGGAAGGTCTGCCATGACAGACCCAAATACTTGGGTGGACTGGGTTT